ACTTTGAAGAGTTTTTTTCTTATTCATGTAGTCCACAGAATCCATACTGTACATCATAAGGAACATAGTTTGGGATTTCTAGTTTCACAATGAATTTATGCATTTACCTCCGTCAGTTGTATGAAGTAAAACCCAGCGTAATGTCACATTACAATCACGAATACAATTCATCAATTTAGGAATATTGTCTAATACATACTCTTCAGTAAGAAAACCTTCTTTAAGAAACTTCAAAACCTAGACAAGTTACAATACGATCACAGTAAAATTTCAATGCAACTTCACAGACAATACACCCTTTCGATAATTATGTCACAACTACACTGTTTTCAACTTAGGACCACCTTAAATGGAAAGGATTTCAAGTTTTTTTCTCATGGGCTATGCACAGAGAAGCAGAACATCCTTCTTCAACACATGCATGAAAAAAATTTTGGATTTTGATCAATAAATATGGAAATAAGCAATAACATGAAAACGAGGCTCCAGTCATAACCTGGAGCCTCGTTTTCGTTTTAAAGCTTATTTCCACATTTATTGGTCAAAATAAAGAATTTTTTTCATGCATGTGTTGAAGAAGGATGTTCTGCTTCTCTGTGCATAGCCCATGAGAAAAAAACTTGAAATCCTTTCCACTTAAGGTGGTCCTAAGTTGAAAACAGTGTAGTTGTGACGTAATTATCGAAAGGGTGTATTAATCATGGTAAATTGATTAACAAAATCAATGGTTAACAAAATACTTGATTACCTGTGTGTTCAATATCTGGACATTACCAATATGGCGAACAGCCTAAAAGATAACAACCATTTAAATTAGTAAAATTAACAGACCACGTTTAATTCTAACCAGGCAAGCACACATTTTCCACTCACCAGGTCCTTGACGTTAGTCAGTTCAACTGTGTTATTCAAGGCTATTTTTGCTGCTCGGTATGGTTCCCATTGCTCAACAAGATTCACAATTACACCCATATATATATTGATCACCTACAGATAAAGTTCACCATCTTTTTTAGGCATCTTCAGACAACTACAGTACTATAAATTTTCAATGGTCGGTTAGTCAGTCAGCAAGCTAGTCAACCTGTTTCAGCTTCGAACAGGATTCAAAAACGTCGAGCGAAGGCCTATTGTCGAGAATGCCCTTCATCATTAGCTATTAACTTCCCGACAAAAGGCTGTTGCTCAAAATGTCAAATTTTACTTCTCAATCTGCAGCTAATAGACCGAAACCCTTTTGAGTGAAATTTTGATCTAGACAAGTCTGGACAAAAATTTCATCACAGCTTGAAAGAGCATCACAAAATTAGTAATATTCCGAAGTTTCGTTGCAAAATGTTGTAAAATGCGGATAATATAGCCTTGCAAAGTTTGCCGTTTTTCAGTCATTTTGTATTACAAATGGGAAATTGATAATCAGTTTGATCATCTGATTAGCAATTTCCAATTTGTAATGCAAAATGACTGAAAAACGGCAAACTTCGCAAGGCTATATTATCCGCATTTTACAACATTTCGCAACGAAACTGCAGAATATTACTAATTTTGTGATGCTCTTTCAAGCTGTGATCAAATTTTTGTCCAGGCATATCTAGATCAAAATTTCACTCATAAGGGGAAAGGTCTATTGGTTGGCCATTCCGTTGGTCAGTCAAACAGCCAGTCAGTCACTAGTATGTCAATCACTTAGTCAGTCATTGGTCAATCAGTGTGTTGGCTGGCAGTCAGTCAAGCAGTTAATCAATCAGCCTAGTATCATATACTCTGAACTTACCCAATTATCAGGGAAATGTTTATCAACAATTTCTCTCATGGTCGCTTGTTGAGAATGCAAGATGTCAGGAGCAAAGTACAGTATCACATACAGCATGGCGGCTTGAGTTGCCAATGCTGTGCTACGATGCTCCGGGAGGGGGTAGGATGAAACCTAAATAACACAATGTAACCTGTAGGTTTGCATGATCATCGTGGTGGCACCCAACTTTATTATTTTATTCTGTTTAATGTCAGATGATTTTACTTGTCAAAGGAAGAATACTGCCACTCAATGAGTTAATGTACAGTACAGTACCAAACTTGCAGTACCTGGTTGTAAATATCATCTGAACGAAGACGCCCAACCAGCATTTTTATAAATGTTGCAGATATTGGAACACGACTAAAACATACACAAGGAATAATTTGTATGTACCACTGTAGTTACTTCCACAAGAACATATAACACAGAAATGTCTATATAGCAGCCTTGCAGAAAAGATTTTACTGCAAAATACAAACCAACAAATGAACAAACCTGAAGTAATCCTCAGGATACTTAGGCGGCCGTCGCCCAGCAGTGAAGCCTGTACTTCGCAACAACTTGCATACATCATCTATGTTCGACTCTATGTCAGCTCTCGCAGCACTGAAATTGCAGATTAGTGAATTGCAGTTTACATATATTTGTATACCGTAGTCAGTTTTAAATTAATTATACTGTAACAATTACAGTAAATACATGTATGTTTATTCCTTTAATTGGTAATGCACCCTAATTGGTAATACTTTATTATTTTACTCTGTCTAATGCAAGTCAAGTTAACTTATTAAGGGGGATCAATGCTGGACGTCACTCAAAGGTAATACAAAAATCCTACCAGTATCTGTAATATGAAACCAGCATCCTTTCTCGTACTTCACCATCAAATTTCATATCAATAAGCAACAACATTACTCCATAGAGATACAACGCTTCAGCCTATTTATAACAGTAATATGTATGTACTCATTAGCTTTTCCTATCTCGCTTCAACAGTGGCAGAGAAAAACTCTCATGTGAAGCTTCAGTGTCGGTATCAATTAGTTCAGCTCAGCCAATAGACATGCAATAAACAGACTGAGTCCTCTTTCAATGCAAATTATAGATGCATTAAGCCAATCAGCATCAAGTATGAAACTGCATGCAATATCTACGCTTGCCACAAAGAGTCAATATGCAGTCAACAAATTACACTATACAAACCATAAGTTGTTTGCCATCTGCATTGACAAGCAACGTCTCCAATGTTTGTTGAATAAAAACACCTTCATCGAGCTCTTCTAAAAATCTGAAGAAATTTGAATGCATACATGTATATAAAATTAAAATCCATGACAGATGAAGTTGTATCTTTACCATTTTTAAATACATTTACATATTATACACTGTATATGTAACCAACTAACCTATTTAAGTCTGTAATATATTTATAAACACTTTCAAAGGCAAGAAAGAACCGAGTCAAAATATCGATGTGATTATCCCTGAATTCTGAATCAAGATCTTGTAATTCCTAAATAATAAACACAACAAAAATAAGAGAATTGATTTTCCCCTTGCATACACGGTTTTTTACGTCAGCTTGGCCAATCATAAGGTTGAAGTATAAAAGGTATCTGTTATATGTCTATCTGACCAGCACAAAACGTCAGAATGCAATGGATCAGGTGTAATTACTGTACATAACATCCTTACTCTAATAAACGCCTCCTAGTAAATAACACTTCAATGATTTGCATTTGTTTACAAAACACAAAATATCAATAGCACTCTAAAAATTTGTTTATTGCAGAAGGTCATGTATTGCAACGATTTCTGCTTTATTTACACGCGTGATATGTACAATATGTTGCTTAAATCTTACTGGTTTTGCGTCGATTTTCGCTTCGTAAAATTCTGGACCACGGAAGTAGGAGAAGTCTGTCAGAACCTCGCCATATTTTAACTGATTTCGCTTGCTGTCCAGCTTAAATTCTGGCGGAATAAAGTCTGAAAGACGGAGCAGTTCTGCAATAATCGCATTTCCTCTGCTAACAAGTTTTAACAACGTTTGACCACAGAGATTGTTTTCAGCAAGAAAGTCCACCATCTTGTTTTTTAAATACTATCACGTGTCGGGAAACGTCGGACATCCTCGGCAAATAATCGTGACGTCTATATTCGTTCGTACCAAATCATCAGTGAATCATTTTCGCGAATATTTTCTGGTATAAAGCGTGCTCATGCGCCAACTGGATTTAGTCCACGAAAATCCTGTAGTATGCTCATGAGCATACCGGATTTTGGTACATATATGGGCGTGCTTATGCCGGAGAATCCCTCATAGTGGTGTCTCATAAGCACGCTCATATATCTACCAAAACCCGGTAATAGTGGTCGTCCTCATGAGCATACTGGATTTTGGTACAAAAATATGGGTGTGCTTATGAGAATCCCTTATAGTGGTTTCTCATAAGCACGCTCATATATCTACCAAAACCCGGTAATACTGGTCGTCCTCATGAGCAGACTGGATTTTGGTACATATATGGGTGTGCTTATAAGAATCCCTTATAGTGGTGTCTCATAAGCACGCTTATATATCTATCAAAACCCGGTGATACTGGTCGTGCTCATGAGCATACTGGATTTTGGTACATATAGTATATGGGCGTGCTTATGAGCATACCTTATTTTGAAATTGCTGTGCTGAGTTGATATTACTACCTGAAAAAAAAACAAGCAGAAACTCGACGTTTCGAGCGAAGGCCCTTCGTCAAGAGTTAGTAGCAGGGATCGGGGGAAATGCAGCGGCTTTTATACTGCAATATTTTCGTACATATATGAGCGCGCTGAGGAGCATACCGGATCTGGTATCTCATGAACACGCCCATATATATGTACTAAAATCCTGTATTATATATGCTCATGAGCACTTATGGATTAGAAATTAGAATCTCAGTGATTATTATTAGGATTGGGATTCAAGTGCTCAAAACACAAAGCATAACAGGAAATCCAATGCCTGGGCATGTTTATATTTGATTAAACTTCGAATTTTTTATAAAACTGTTACATATGGCGACAATATAAAAAATATTTAGACAACAATTTCTGTAGTTCTGGTTGTCTAAGTTATAGTTATTCCTGTCGTGTTGTTCACACTTTTGGTTCAATCCAATTCTCCTCCAGTTCTCGCATTGAAAGACGTTACGGAATGCTTTCATTCATGAAGGCGTTGTGGATTCGTTAATACAGGGATTCTACAAAAAAGGAAACTTTTGTGCGTAACTTGTGAAAAATTAACTACAAATTAAACGTTTATGAAGAATCGTTTCTACTTTCTATGTGTCAGTTAAGAAGTGATAGAGTTCTCCAGTATAAATAACGTTAGTCTACGGTTCCTCCTGTAGTTGTACTAACACTGGAGCAATAAAGGATTACTCTTTACTGGTCCTCTTGGACGAACCAGTGGAAGAACAATATTTGGAAGATATAAATTGAGCTACAATTCTTACCGGCTCTTTTTTATGCTTGGCACTTCTTGTTGAAGACCTGATCGTGGTGTCTGAAACTATACGTCGACAACAGAATGAAAAGGTATACAGGTTTATACACTGGGGTAGATTTCAATAACAAAAGAAGAGAGCGACGCTGTGCATGGTTACAGCTATTGTCTGTATTATTAGCAACAGGTCATATCATGCAAATTTGGATTATTTAAACCTTTAGAAATGTATCGTCTTTAACCTATGTGGATGCAGGTTTATTAGCATAGCATGGTCAGTTGCCATGGTTAGCTTTGCCACAGGTATATAGCGTTATTGTAAGAGTTGGGGTTTAGAAGAACACTAAAAAAGACGAAGAAGATGCTCAAATCATGAGCTAACCTGTTGTTCTGTCATTGAGACTCCGTCAAGCACTGGTATCCTCGCTATAGCACTCTTCTGCATCTCCGCCACTTTACTACGATCCAATAACCGCACGGTCGAATTGATCAAAAATTTTCCTCCATGTTGACTGGTTGCTATCAGTGGAGCTGCATTCTTCAAAGCAATATTCACTTTAACATTGCTAGGTATTCCAACTTTACCATTCGAGAAATTCCCCTTGGTCAGTAAGATATCGGAGGTGATGTGTAATGCCATCAGTGGACTTTCTGTTGGTTTCACATCAGAATGAAGAACGTGCTGTTTGAAAAGATTTTCTAAAGCTTGTACACGAGATTCTAAAAGTCTTGCTTCTTGTATTGCATCGCACTAGGGGAAGACGAAGATAAATTAGTGAATTATGGTTAGCATATAGTTAACTGATATTACTTAGACTGGATTATAGCTCCGTAAGTTCTAAACTGTTCTTCCTAGAGATCCAATAAAGCAATAAGGATCACCTCTTATTGATCCAGTGTTACTACAGAAGGAAACCTTAAACTTAAACTAACTTTGTACTGGATAGCTCTAACCTGTTCTCTCTAGAGTTCCAGTACAGGCCAACACTTTTAGATCATGCAGTATTACTACAGAAAGAACCTAAACTCTTTTCATACTGGATAGCCGATGAAACTGTTCTCTCTCGAGTTAGTAACCACTTGCCATCAGTCAATATATACTTACTATTTCGACTGGACAAAATCCAGGATCACCTGGTTCTCCTTGTAGTCCTGGAATGCCAGCGATTCCAGGCGGTCCTACGTCGCCCTTGAAGGGAAATAAAGAAATCACTTTTTTTCCTAAATGCTAAAGTTAGATATTGTATCAAGTTGCAGGTAGTAGTATATCTCTCACAATCCTTTCACAACACAGCTGTCTACCTTACCATTGGTCCGTCTAACCCAGTTGACCCATATCGACTTTTCAAATGTAACAATATTTTACCCTTAAATTTAAGATAAATGTTAAATATCTTCAATTCAAGGTATAACGAATATATATATATATATATATATATATATATATATATATATATATATATATATATATATATATATATATATATATATATATATATATATATATATATATATATATAGAGTG